AGCCAATCAGAGCGACTATTCAAATTAACCCCAACCAAGATGGCTGCTGCCACAGAGAGTAGGAGGGAGGCTTGGGTTTCTCGGCGATAGAGGAAGCCAAGCCTTCCACATACCCTGGCCGGCCCAGGCCTCCACTCAAGAATACAAAGTTTCAATTATAGAAGGTGAATAGGAGAAAACCAATATGGCAGCAAAGGTAAACGACTAATCTGCCGCCTTGCACAACAATTTCAAAACTACAACTAAAAGACAAAATGTCTATCACCCAGAACTACGGGAAAGCAGGAGAGAGAAAGGAACACAAGTGCTGAAAAGCTAAAAAGCACGTGAATAATATTTTTTATTTATAAAAATGGTGGTAGACTACTGGGTGTGCAGCTTTTTTTTTCAACCCAAAAGGGAAACAAGCTCCCGATCACTTTGAAATCCAGTTTCTGGGGTCACGTGGGGGACCCAGGCACCTACAGTAAGAAGCTGGTCTGTAGGCCATCAGGTCCAAAAGTGAGGGTGACTCTCTTGCAGAGATGCCAGCATCAATCCTTGTTTACTGCGCGGGATTGCAGGGATGTGGTGACTTGGAAAAGTGGAACAGCAGATAGCTGATGATAGCCATTGCAATTTGCCACGCCCCAGCCTAGTGACCCCACCCCACCCTACTCTGAGTACCCACCCCGAGGTCCCGCCCTGCACATTCTACAGACATACCAGGCACCACACAGCTACTTTTGCATATAAATGGACTGTATTGTAACAGCTTAACGAAATAAATTGCAGCTCCAGCCATAAAACTGCCAAGTCCCAAGTAAAGAGGACAGAACTGTAGTTCTTGTGGTAGCTCCTGCTGGGTGGCCTAAGATAGTAGCTGAACTGCACCTCATTGGAGATCTGGAAACTAGTGTATCTAATGGTCGGTGTGAGAGGACACCAGATTTCAACTACTCTCATAAGGGACACGTTCAAGAGGCAGACTCAGTGAGCACTGAAGCCCTATGGGAACAAGTCCTCCCCCATAAACATGTCTCCACCATAGTAATTCTTCCATTATAGACACAGCAGATCCTCACAGCCAATTGGCCTGGAGGTCAATTCCTCCCAGTGACACCAACAACAATCAAGACTTAACAACAAGAGTGTACACACAGTCCACAAAGGGGTGCACCAAGAATCCATATCAGGCAACTGGGAGGCTGACCCACTGAACCATATAGGACATCTAGGCCCACAAAGCTACCCTACCAACTCAGGGAAGCATCAAAAATGCTGAGAAAAGGAGATAGATCTCAAATGAAAGAAATAGAGGAAAACAAAAGACTGGGTATAGAGTTTAAAATTACGGTTATAAAGTTTTTCAAGTAATTCCTAGAAAAGGCAGATAAATTTAATGAAACCCTTAAAGATATGGAAAAGGGCCAACTAGAAATTAAAAATACACTGACTGAAATAAAAAAAATATTATACAGAGACCCAACAGCAGAATAGAAGAACGCAAGAATCCAGTCAAAGATTTGGAATACAAAGAGGCAAAGGACACTCCTCCGGAGAAGCAGGAAGAAAAGAGAATCCAGAAATTGAAGATAGTATAAGAAGCCTCTGGGACAAATTCAAGCCTCTGGGACAACTTCAATCAGAATTATGGGGGTACCAGAAGAAGAGAAAGAGCAAGACACTGAAAACCTATTAGAAGAAATAATGACAGAAAACTTCCCCCACCTGGTGAAAGAAATACAAGTCCAAGGAGAACACAGAACCCCAAACAAAAGGAATCCAAAGAGGACCACACCAAGACACATCATAATTAAAATGCCAAGGCTAAAAGACAAAGAGAGAATATTAAAAGCAATAAGAGAAAAACAGTTAGTTTTCTACAAGAGAGCACCATATGATTATCAGCTGATTTTTCAACTGAAACTATGAAGGCCAGACAGGAGTAGCAAGAAATATTCAAAGTGATGAATAGCAAGAACCTACAACCAAGACTACTCTACCCAGCAAAGTTATTCAGAATTGAAGGACAGAATAAAAAGCTTCACAGATCAGAAAAAGCTAAAGGAATACATCACCAAAAAACCATATTATATGAAATAATAAAAGGTATTCTTTAAGAAGAGAAAAAAGAAAAAAGTAAAGATAAATTATGAACAACAAATACATATCAACAAATGAATCTAAAAGTCAAGTGAATTAAAAATCTGAGGAACAGAATAAACTGGTGAATATAATAGAATCAGGGGCATAAAATGGGAGGAGATTAATAATTCTCAGGGGGGAAAATAAATTAAAAAAATAATTCTCAGGGGAAAGTGGTGTCTGTGTTGGGGGTACAGGAAGAGACTTGACAAAAATCATATAACTATGGATGAGGATAGCAGGGATGGGGGGAGTTAAGGACAGAGGGTGGGGTGAGGACCAGGTGAAGGGGAGTTATGGGAGAGGGAGGGGGGAAAAGAAATAATTGTAATAATCTGAAAAAATAAGGATTTATTTAAAAAGAAGAAGAAGAAGAAGAAGAAGAAGAAGAAGAAGAAGAAGAAGAAGAAGAACAACAACAACAACAACCACCACCCAGGTGGCAACAACAACAACAACAACAACAACCCCCCAGGTAGCTGAGGCAATCCAAAGGCCTGAGGACACCTTTTGACTGGGCTACCAACCTACCGGTCTAGAGCTGCCATGAATGCACAGAAAATCATCATGCCCAGGAGCAGTCAGAAAGAAATCCCGATTTTTTAAATAATAGATCGTCTTGATCATTAACCAGGAAATGGCTGAGAGATTATCCCTTTTCTGAGCTCAGCCACAGTCAGCGACCAAAATGCCTTATTAAAATGTGTGAACCAGGAAGAGGTGAGGAAGCTAGAGTTTAAAATCTATCTGAATTTAGTTTGAGGAGGCCATTCCAATACTCAACAGTATCTCATACCGTGAGTGCTAGAGAGCCTGACATGTCCATCAAATACCTTCCCTATCAGCACATTGTTGTGCTGCTTTTATAATAAAAAGCACAGCATCATCAGGCTATAGGTGGTCCAGAAAGCTGAAAACATGACAGATATTTGTTTCAAGGGCCACAATAGAGAGACTGGAACTAGCTGATTAGGCTGGAACAGCAATATTGTAAGGTGAATTAGTGTCAATAGCAGAGGAGGTCAACAGTCTGATAAATTCAGTCTTCTAAGAGCGAGAAGGTAGGAGTGGGGGAAAAAATTATAGGTGAATAAACCCCAACAGAAATGGCTGCTGCCACAGAGTGAGCAGAAAGCTTGGCTCCACTCCAGGCTATAAAGTTTCAATTGTAGAGTGTAAATAAATTCCAGATACCAGGGCTTCCACTTGGGTAGCCAGGGAGCATGGCTGGCCTACAAGCCACCACAGGCCCCTTGCCCAGGCCACCCCCTGCCAAAAGGGAACCCCCACCCTGATCTGGGACACTGTTCAGGGCAAACCAGCTGGCCCCTACCCATGTACCAGGACTCTATACTATCTAATAAAAGAGTAATATGCAAATTGTCCATCACTCCAACACATAAGGTCAAGATAGCTGCCCCCATGTGGTCAAATATCCTGCGCCTATGTGGACACAAGATGGCCAATAGGAGAGGGCAGTTGAGAGGGACCAGATCTGCAAGGAAGGGCAGTTGGGGGCAATCAAGCCTTCAAGGGAGGGAAGTTAGGGTTGACCAAGCCAGTAGAGAAGGGAAGTTGGGGGCAAACAGGCTGGCAGGAGGGAAGTTAGACATCAATCAGCCTGGCAGGGCAGTGGTTAGGGGGTAATCAAGCTGGCAGGCAGAAGTAGTTAGGGGCAATCAAGAAGTTAAGCTGGCAAGCAGTTGGGAACCAGCAGTCCTGGACTGTGAGAGGGAAGTCCCAGTGGGATCTGGCCTAAATGGGCAGTCAGACATCCCTAGAAGGGTACCAGATTGGAGAGGGTGCAGGCTGGGCTGAGGGACACCTCACCCAGCTCCCCTTGCACATGGTGGGTGTGGCTGGTGGGTGTAGTGGAGTGATGGTTAATTTTCATATTGCTCTTTTATTAGTTAGGATGTCTTTTGCAAATATTTTCTTTCAGTTTGTAGCTTGTCTTCCCATTCTCTCTCTCTCTTTTTTTTTTTAAATAAATCTTTATTGTTCATATTGTTACAAAAGTTCCTCATTTTTTCCCCTTCACCAGGTTCCTACCCCACCCTCTGCCCTTTCCCCATCCCCTATTGTCCTCATCCATAGGTGCACAGATTATGTTCACTCTCTTCCTGCACCCCCCACTCCTCTTTTCCCCTAGAATTGTTAGTTCACTCCCCTTCCATACCTCTGATTCTATTATATTCAACAGTTAATATTCTTCATCAGGTTTTTTAATTCCCTTGGTTTTTAGATTCACTTGTTGATAGTTACATATTTGTTGTTCATAATTTTTATCTTTATCTTATTCCTCTTCCTAAAGAACCCCCTTCAGCAATTCATATAATTCTGGTTTGGTGGTGATAAACTCCTTTAACTTTTTTTTTATTATTTGTGAAGCTCTTTATCTGGCCTTCGATTCTGAGTGATAGCTTTGCTAGGTAGAGTATTTTTGGCTGTAGGTTCTTGTTATTCATCACCTTGAATATTTCTTGCCATTCCAGTCTGGCCTGCATGGTTTCTGTTGAGAATTCAACTGACAATCGTATGGGTGCTCCTTTATAGGTAACTATCTGCTTTTCTCTTGCTGCTTTTAATATTCTTTGTCTTTTGCTCTTGGAATTTTAATTATGATGTGTCTTGGTGTGGTCCTCTTTGGGTTCCTTTTATTTGGGGTTCTGTGTGCTTCCTGAACTTGTAAGTCTATTTCTTTCACCAGGTGAAGGAGGTTTTCTGTCACTATTTTTTCCAGTATTCTTTCAGTATCTTGCTCTCTCTCATCTCCTGGGACCGTCATAATTCTGATGTTGGTTCGCTTGAAGTTGTCCCAGAGGTTTCTTATGCTATCTTCAACTTTCTGGATTCTCTTGTCTTCTTGCTTCTCTGTGGAGGAGTGTCCTCTGGCTCTTTGTGTTCCAAATCTTTGACTTGATTGTTGCAATCTTCCATTCTGTTTTTAGGACTCTATAACATTCTTAATTTCAGACAATGTATTCTTTACTTCTAGCTGATCCCTTTTCATATCCTCATAGGTCTCCTTTATTTTATCAGCCTTTTCTAGGAAATTCTTGAAAAACCTTATAAGTGTGGTTTTGAACTCTATATCCAGTCCCTTTTTATCCTCCATTTTTTTTTTTGTTTGTGATCTGTTTCCTTGTCTCGGCATTTTCACTGCTTCTCTGAGTTTGTAGGGTGGCTTTGTGTGTTAAGGTGTCCTATATAGTTCAGTGGGTCAGCCTCCCAGTTATCTGAGGTGGACACTCTTGGTGCACCCCTTTGTGGACTGTGTGTATAGTCTTTTGTAGTTAAATCTTAATTGTTGTTGGTATCACTGGGAGGAACTGAACTCCAGGCCAATTGGCTGTGAGGATGAGCTGTGTCTATGCTGGGAGACAGCCTTATTCAAAAGCCTCTGTGCTAAGCTTGGGTAGGGCAAAGTTTCAGGGTGGAGCCTTCAGCCTTGGCTTCCTGTCAGCCCTGCCCTATGAGGTTCCTGAGTCTCAGTGCTCCTCAGTGTCCTTTGGTACTCGCTGCAAGCACCTCTGAGAGAAAAGTGCCCTTGAGTTTCTCCCACTACTGGACAGTCTAATCTCTTCCCCAATGAGCCTGGAACTGAGGTTCAGTGCAGATGGAAGTGGGGTTCAGTGCAGTCCAGAGCTTTTGTCTTCTTTCCGTTAGGGCAACCCAGCAGCACAGTCAACAGTCAGTCCTCTGCGCACAATGTGCGCGACTCCAGGGCTCTGCCTTTGGCTGCTCCCCTGAGTTTCCGCCTTACAGCCTAGAATCCCTCTGTATGAGCCTGGGACTCCAGGGTCTCTCCCAGAACTGAGGTTCAGTCCAGTTGGAACTGGGGTTCAGCACAGTCTGAGCTTTTATCTCCTTCCTGCTAGGGAATGCCAACCAGGTACTGAGCCACCCTTCCTCTCAGGCTTCGTCCTCTCCCCACACGCACACCGTGTCTCTAAATCTTAGGCTTTTATAGCTCCTCTGATTCTCCTTCTGGTTTTCTCTTTTCTTCCAGTTGTAGAATTTCCAGTCAGTCAAGTTTCCTGTAGTTCTGGATAATGTCCACTTTATATTTTAGTTGTATTTTTTGAAATTGTTGTGTGAGGCTGCAGTTGGGCATTTACCTATGCCGCCATCTTGGTTTCCTCCCCCAATTTTCCTGCCTTCCCATTCTCTTGACCTAGGTCAGTCTTTTAAGTTAAAAAACATGTAAGTTAGAGTTAGAATTTTAAAGTAATGAGAAATAGCACCTGTATAGCCAAAGAGGGTTATGTGTGCGTGTGTGTGTGTGTGTGTGTGTGTGTGTGTGTGTATGTACTTGCCCTGCAAAACACTAAGTGGCTTGATTTTCTTTAAAATAAAAAAATTTTAACTATGAAATAATTTTAAATGTACAGAAGAAATGCAAATTCCATACAGAGAGCTAATGATCAACCTTCCTCCAGCTTCTCTTAATGTTAACATATCACATAACCATAGTGCATTATCACAATTAAGAAGTTAACATTGTGCCGAAACCAGTTTGACTCTGTGGATAGAGCATCAATCTGTGGACTGAAAGGTCCCAGGTTCGATTCTGGTCAGAAACATGTATATTGGTTGCAAGCACATCCCAATAAGGGTTGTGCAAGGGGGCTGGTTGATGTTTCTCTCTCATCCATGTTTCTGGCTCTCTATCCCTCGCCTTTCCTCTCTGTAAAAAATCAATAAAATATATTAAGAAAAAAAAAGAAATTAACATTGGAACAAATTTATTAATTAAACTTCAGACTATTAGGATATGGCCAGCTTTTTAAATAACATCCTTCTGTGTCAGGATCCAATTTAGAATAACACATTACATTTAGTTATCATGACTCCTGGATATCCATTAATATTTTGTGGTTTCTCCATCCTTCTTTATTTTTTATGGTTTTGAGTATCAGACAGACATTTTGTAGAATATCTCTCAACTTGTGTCTGTCTGATATCTCATGACTAATTTGACTGAGGTTGTGGACTCCTGGGAAGAACACCACAGAGGTAACATGCCCTTCTCTTCTTGACATATTAGTGGGTACATGATATCAACATGATTTATACTGATGATGTTAACCTTGGTCACTTGATTAAGGTGATGTCTTCCAGGCTTCTGTCTGGTCCTATTCCATGTTCTATTCATTAGAAGCTAGTCTCTAAATCCAGACCATTTTAGCAGGTAAATAATTGCCATTACTAATAATTATTAATAGTTATTAATAATTATTAATTGTAGTAATTAATTACTACAATTAATAAATATTAAGAGCTGATACATGGAGTCTATGCTAATGTCCTGTCTCTTCTTAAAGTTTTGCCCACTACTGTTAGCATCCATTCATGGAATTGCCATTCAGCAAAAATTACTGTGGGATTCTAATGCCACTTTCCTACTTCTCTCATTCCTACTACATTTATTATTTGAAGTAAGTTTGTAAGAAATATTTGTCCTTTTGCCCACATTTATTTATGTCTTCAATAATCATGGACATTTATTTTATTCTTGCATTTGTCAGAGACAGCCAGAGCCCTGCTGGAGCTCTGGTGCTCTGAACCATATATTCCTCTAAATTCTTCCCGACTGTGCCAGGGGAGGTTCCTTCTCGAACCCTGCTCGCTACACTAACTGTTGGGAGCTTAGTCCAAGTTCCTCCTTTATCTTCTGCTCACTAGTTACAGGTGTCAGATCCGAGGCCCTCTGTCTGGGGCTGGACCTCCTAGGACGTGGGGTTTCAGATGGAGAAGCCATGAGAAGTTGTGGGTGTATAAGAATGAGTCTTTATTGCAGGAGCCAGTGGCCATATAGAATTCAGACAAAATAATCCTCCATAGCAAAGTACATACATGCAGCTCTGTACCAGCTGGTAAATACTTATCTTTCCCACAAAGTAGCATTCATCTCTGTGCCCATAGTTATTATCTGAGTAGCCACATGTTGCTCTAGCCTAGACCTATTGCTTTACATAGCAACACCCGAGCTCTCCCTTAGAGCTACAGCTTCCGTGGCTTCTCCAGCCTCTCTAGCTCAGCAGCTTCTCCTGTCTCCCCTGCCCAGCACACTGGCTATTCTCTGCAGTCTCACATAGTAACCACCTCTGAGCTTTACTCTCAGCTCACTGGCTGGTTAACATGGTAGCTACTCATATATCTGAGGTCTCTATGAGCTCTTAGCCTTACATTGTAACAGTACCAGCTCTCAGCTCTGTCTAAGCTCTCTTGCCTTTTTCCAAGTCCACTGGCTGGTTAACGACATGTATATAACTACTGAGACAGAAGAGGCCTCTAGCCAACAATGGCATCAATCATTTGGCTGTAGAAGGGCACAGCGTGGCCTTGCAGCTGTGTCGTCCTTTGGCATTCTGATTCCCATGTTCAGAGTGGCCTTGCCCATTCAGCATAGTATCAGCAAGGCCTCTGCACAGTAATTAGCCTTAACTATCCGTGGACTCTGGGGTGGTTCCCACAGCATTATAATCCTCTACTACTGCTTATTTTGTTGCTCAAGTGCCACATCTAGGCAATAGGATCTCTTTCAGGTAGGTTCCTATATCCCTTTCACATGTCCTCATTTGGTTTGTATTTTCTTCAAATTCATCATGAGTACTTTCTTGCTTTCTGACCAGAAGTTGCCCAATTTATAAAAACCCATACCACAATTGGAATCAGCTAGAAAAAAATGTATAAATTGTATGTGTATATGTATGTACAAGCACATTTGCACATATACAAATACTTCAGTGTATTTGTATAGATCTGTATCACTTCACATGAATATGTACATATTAAATGTCATGTGTTGACACAAAAGTCCAGTATTCCAATATAACAGCAGAGTTCTTTATGGCCTTTCAACTTTCTCTGTCTGTGAGTTCCTTGTCCAACAGTAAGAGACCTGGCTTCCATTAACCCCAATATATTGATTTGTTTATTCAGCCTCTTCTATCACCCCAACCTCTTGTCTACACTGCTGTTTCCTCTGCTCACCACTCCTGCATGCTTCCCTCTTTCCCAAGTATGCTCCTCCATACAGGAAAGGGAAAGGAGGAGAGAGTCTGCAATTTTGAAGAGGTATGTTTCAACAGATGGGGCTTCAGGCAATCTTGGAATTTGGTCTTGGAATTTAGCCCTTCCCATGAAAGCTTCTGAGGCAAATGTTGGTTATATTTTATATCTGGGTCCTCAGGCTATCTAGACATTTTCAGTTATCAAAGGAGGTGCTGCTTCAGAGATACTGAGAAATCTTTAGTTGTATTTTAAGTTCAAAATGTAATTCTCACTTGCCCAATGGTTCCTAAAGTAACAGCAGTGTGGTAGAAGATAGCCTTTTTTTCCTAAGTAGCCTATAAAACAAACACAACCTGCCTCACATTCACCCCCATTCTTGTTTCACAAATGAGCTCAGACATGTACTTTGACATCTTGATTAGGACAATTGAGCTTTTTATGTCTTCTCAGTGTCTTCAGGGGCAGTAGGTGACATTTCTCCCTACGTGGTAGGATCTCTGTTTGGCTTGACCATGAGAACAGCCTTTGTTGAGTGAGTTTAGGCCTTGCTTTCTTGTCAGCATGCTCTTCTTTGTCACCAAACCCACACCAGCCCTGGCTGCAAATGGCTGGATGAGTGACTATCTATAGTCACAAATGTGACTTAAGAGTCAAAAGTGATCCTAGACTAAACAGCAGGGGAAGTTGAGCATCAGCCCAGCCCAACTGCTAAATTAAATAAAGATGCACAGGGATAGCAGTACAAACCATTGCACTCAGGCACAGAGTCCTGTTCTGTATAAGTACTAAACAACTCTTAAAAAATTTGTATCCAATTATATAATACTAGTGTCCCAGTGTAGGCATTCGTGAACATTGAAAGGAAATTAATTAGAATGTGGCCAGCAGGGCAGGGCCAGATGGGCCAGACGTGCCCCGGAGCCAACCTTCCTCAGTTCCTCCCCAGATGGCTGCACCTGGAGTGACGCAGTGGCTAGAAGGGCATCTGAGGAATGAGTGGGGTCCCTGTGGAAGATGGGATCCCTCAGGCTGGCCTATGGGGATCAGGCTGAAACTGGCTTTCCAACATCTCCCAAGGGGTCCTGGATTGCAAGAGGGTGGTTCTTGGGTAATGCACCCTGGAATTAGTCTGCCTCCTCTCTGGTTCTGGGTGTATCACCCGAGAATTGCTGCTGCCAAGTCACCACAGTTCAGCAGCTCCTGCTTTGAGCATTTGCCCCGTGGTGGTCAGTCCACATCATAGCTACCGGTTGGATGGTCACTTCGTCATATATATATATTATAAGCAATCTTGCTATTATTTAAAGCTTCAATGCTGTCATGAAAGCCCAACTAAAATATTATATGTATGTTTTATTTCAAATGAATTAAACAATAAAACCCTAGAAGCAGCCATTAACTTTAGGTAATTGTCTGTCTCTGAAAGTTAAATGCTCCAAGGAACATTTAGCTAACAAGGTCATGCAAAAAGGGTCCCCTGTTTTGATTTGGCATTCAAAACCATTTAATTAAACAGTGATGCCGACTTGAGCTTTTTAAAAAAATGTTTTTAAAAAATTAATTTTAGAAAGAGAGGAAGGGAGAGGGAGAGTGAAAGATTAATAGACTCTCTCCTGTACCTGCATGCCCCCTACTAGGGATCAAGTTTGCAACATGGGCATGTGCTGTAACTTGGAATCTACCTGGTGATCTCGTGGTACATGAGCTGATGCTCAACTACTTAGCTACACTAGCTTGTTGCCAACTTGAGTTTTATGTTTATAATGTTACTAGGGGCCCAGTGCACAAATTCGTGCACCTTGAAAGGAACTGTGATCCACAAGGCTGTGGTGGGTACAGGAAATGGACTTGGCCCATCCTCTGTGCCTCCTCCTAACCCCTCATGCCATGGCCCCTGGTTCCCAGTCTGCCAGAAACCCTGCTCCTACTGCTGCCACTTCCTTGTGCTGATGGTGCCAGCCCCGCTCACACCCGCTGACAGCACAGAGCGATTGGGGCTGGTGACAGCAATGGGTGCAAGTGGGGCTGGTGTCATTAGTGGATGTGAGAGGTGGCTGCTGCCCCGATTGCCCATAAGGAGCAGAAGGAAGTAGAGGAACCCTCAGGGGAGACCGGGGTCAGCAGCCACTGCTAGCATCCACTGCCAGCGCCAAGCAATCAGGGCCGGCATCGGGAGCTGGAAGCAGGTGTGAACAGTGGCTCCAGCGCCGGCAGCAGGTGCAAGTTCCAGGTAGGACCACGTATGCAGGAGCAAAGAATTTTCAGTAACCACCAGAGGCTCACCCCAATGACAGAGACTGGCACCCCACCTTGGTCTGGCTCCCCAGCTCATGTGCTCCACCTTCTTGCCACAGCCAATGCCCACCATGTTCTGTGCTCTGCTGCCTGCTGCTGACACTTGCCATGTTCTGTGCATGCCCCCTGGTGATCAGCGCACGTCATAGCAATTAGTTGTTCTGTTGTTTGGTCTATTTGCGTATTAGCCCTTTATTATATAGAATATAGTATGATTTTGTATACTTGCTATAAAGATTTATGTTGTTAGGGGGCAAATAAAAAAAATACCATTAAAAAATTGGGGTTTTCTTTTTGTAGTTTTCTTCTTAGCACAGAGTGCTAAGTTCTCCTTCACCTTTTGCTTCTATTCTTAACCCAGTGCAGTATATTTGCATCTAACAGCTACCAGTAATCTTCTAGCAATGTAAACAGGATTATGTCACCTTCTGCTTTAACTTTCCTTGGTTTTCTTTGTATTTAAAATGCAAACTCCCTTGTCTTGCTATGAAGTTGAAAAGAATAAATCCTTTCTCTCCAACTTTATCTCTTGACACTCTCCCATTTGCTCACTCTGTTCCAAACACACAGACCACACTTCTGTTCCTAGATAAAGTGCCCAGTTCATTCCCACCTCCAGCCCCGGCCATGGTTGTTCCTCCTGCTTGAAAGCTCTGCTCCCCGATGTTGTATGGCTGGCTGCTTAATCAGGTCCCACTCAGACATCACCTCTCCAGACCTTAGGGCACATGTGTCAAACACAAGGCCAGCGGGCCAAATCCGTCCCGCCAGGCCTTGCAATGTGGCCCGCACCGCGCTGTCATCACTGCACTCCGCTTCGTTTCCATCACAATGACAGTTTATGACTGTTCAGTAAACCATTCGGCCCGCGATTTAGGCTGGATTTTAGATTTTGGCCCCTTCTCTGATTGAGTTCGACACCCCTACCTTAGGGCATCCTCGATTGCAGTTAATATCATGGCACTTGGCCTTATATTTTTTAATATTCTTTTTTTAAATTATCTATAATTATCAACCCTCTGTTTATTTTTTGTCATCCTTATACAAGAGTGTAATGAAAGTAATAAATAAAGGAAGGGCATTATCTGAATCCCCACCCTGTTCCACACTTCCAGACTGGTAATGGTCTGGAACTACATAAATACTTCTTCTATTGTTATTAATCCTGGCAGGAGAATATATTTACTTTGAATTTTTTAGAGAGAGTGGAAAGGAGGGAGAGAGAGAGACACATTGTTTAGTTGCCTCCCTCAGGGGGCCCCAATCGGGGCTAGGGATCAAACCAGCAAGCTAGGTACATGCCATTGATGGGGAATCAAACCAAAGACCCTTTAATACACAGGATGACACTCTAACCACTGAGAAACACCAGCCAGGGGCATAAATACTTCTTTAATGGGCAAATGGTGATGGACAGGGATTTGACTTGGGATGGTGAGCATACAACACAATGTACAGATGATGTGCTGCACAATTGTGCACCTAAAACCTGTATAATTTTGTTAATAAATTCATTAAAAAGGAAAAATAAGTAAGTAAATAAAATTTAAAAATAATTTCTTCTTTTCTTGATTGGTTACTTGAGAACCCACAGATATTGCAGAATAGTAAACTACATGTGTTTTAACTACTTTGAATACACTGAGAGTTTGGCAAATGTTATGAACTCCTACGAGAGCAGGTTCCCCTGGCCTTTGACCTAATAGATAGAAGTATATCTTTGTATCTAGAATAGAAATGGTACCAGTGAACTAAGAGTATAATCTCTTATGATAAATACAAAGTAATATAAATTTAAAAGGAGGCTAAGAAGGGTGTTCCACAGAGGTTAGAGGATAGACTGCATATAGTTGTCCCCCTTTATCTACAGAGGATATGTTCAAAGACCCACAGTGGATGCCTGAAACCACAGATAGTACTGGATCCTATATATACCATGTTTCTGTTGTACATACATATCTATGATAAAGTTTAATTTATAAATTAGGTAGAGTAAGACATTAACCATGATAACTAATAATATTAACAGTTACAACAATATGCTGCAATAAAAGTTATCTAAATGTTGTCTCTCTCTCTCAAAATATCTTACTGTACTGTATCCACTTTCTTTGATAACATGAGATGATACAAAGCCTACATCACCAGTGAGGTGAATGGCAGAATTATGACATAGTATTGGGCTGCTGTACGGGTGAGATGGACACAAGCACAGTGACACCACAATGCTAGTAGTCAATCTGATAAGGAATCAGCAACCTTTTGACTGCTGGTTAGTGATGCTGACCAAGTGATGGCACATCACAGGTAAGACAGAGTAGGTCAATTTGAGATTTCATCACACTAATAAGAACGGGGAATTTTTCATTTAGTATTTTAGGAAAATAGTTAAGACAAACCATGGAAAGCAAAACCATGGATAAGGGGGGACTACTCTGTATAGACTGGCCAGGCGAATTCTTATTCTGATTGTCAATAATAGATAAAAACAGCGTTTTTTTCTTTCAACTTTTTCTTGGATTTTTCAAAGGGTCAGAAATTGTTAAAAGGGCATGGTACTTGGCTGGATACTTTGCCAATTCTCATTTTTATGAGAAAACTTACTGTTTCCTTAGGGTGTGACAATCAAGAGAATCCATCAAAGGGGCAAAATTGATACTAACAGCCTCTTTGCTGCTTGGCAAGTTTGTGAATGGGAGTCCCAGAGGAAATGATCCCACTATACTGGAAGTAACTATGCTTATCAGCTACTCTGAAAAGAGAATTGCTGTTAGAGTGTGAATAAGACGTTATAGGCTTTGACGGATAGACAAATGACTGGCTCCTGAAAATACTGTGGAAAAGCTATGGTTTGCATCTATCTGGCGTGTAAATTTGCTTTTGATTGACATTGTGAGGGCAAACAATTTAAAGTGAAGAAACAAAGACGAAATGTCATCTTTGTGAGTAGATGCTTCTATTAGAAGCTGAAAATGTGACGGGAATGCTTTTGAAAATGTGTTATTTCTCTGTGATCCTTTATGCCACTGCAAGCACAGGAAAAAACATCTTTACTCTTACTCTTGTTTTAAAACGTCAGTGGATGCGACATTCACTTTTAGCACAAAAGGGCTGTGAATCTGCACTTTACGGTGCATACACAACAGTTTGATGATAGCGGCCCACTGCTTTAA